AGTCTAAAGTGATAAGATTCTATCATATCCCAGTAGATATCACTTTTAAAGAGGTGATTTTGATGGCAAACAACATGCTTACAAATAAATTAGAGGTGGAAAGAAGGCAGACGATTTCTAAAAGTAGAAGAGGTCCACAATGAGTGGAGAATTGATCACTTGAAAAATAAAATATAACTGGAGTACTAGTACCTGCCAAAATGTGGGGATAGAGTTGAAAAAATATGTAGTAGAAATCATTTAGGGTAGGTAACTTGTACCATTATTACACATTAAAATTTCTTTTGGCAAACACCGACGCACTTAAAGCAACAGTCCAGGCAGGGTTTCAACTACTTGGTCATTAGGCGGTCAAAACATGCCCCAGCCCAACTAAAGTTTATAGGAAATGTCTTTAATTTCAAAACCTACCTCTAAAATGCGCTGGAAGGGGTCGAAGTCCTCTTGGAGGGGGCGGATCACCCATAAAGAGGCGGATCGCCCAACATACGCTGCAGAGCGCGCACGGTGCGGCGGTACGCCGCGGTCATAGATTTTTGACGAAAAAACGGCTATTTTTCACAAAAATTTTATTCAAGCGCACGCCCGCCACAGAGGCGATGTTCTTATGGCGTGCCATATCGTCATAGTCACGTACAGCGGCGGGGACCGCCGGCCGCTGTAATGTTGATTCTATAATGAGCTCGCAGGATTAGCGCCATCAATTTCTGCAATGGCATGATTGTCCTACCGCCTCAAAGGCTATACAAACACCTACTCAGCACACTTCTTTCAGTCCACACGGTACTCAGCTAGAGAGCAGTGGAGGGAGGAGGGGAGGATAAGGTGAGGAACGCAAAGCTTACGCAGGGAAAGGAGGTCCCGGCGGTTGCAGGGAACCTCTGATCTTCAAATAAAACAGCAGAAGTGATGAACGGATGCCGAATTCTGAAGTGAACACTCCATCTTATACCCTCCCTTTCAAAAAACGAGAAGAGAAGACAATACACCACAAGTCACGACAGCCTCCGAGTAAATCTGGTTCAGTAGTGGTTCATAGTGATAGCTGATTTTGGTAAATGATAGTTGTAATTAGTGACAACTGATAGAATACAACTGCAACAGGCTAATCATTTCATTGGCAGAAAACATTTACATTTTGTGAGGCCGTCGTCACTTGTGGTGTATGGTCTGCACCCGACGCTATTCTCGTTTCTTATAAGAGGTCTACGTGTTCAATCAATGAGTAGATCCCGCGCAATGGCAGGAAACTGCCAAGTGTCAAGAGCAATGTTGAAACTATCAAATGTGACCATTTTTGGTCAGTTCGTACCGATTAGGTTTCATCTACTGTCACTGAATTTCGCCATGCGTCTTCGATGACGCATCACTCCGTCAATGCGCCAATTGCGCAGGTGTGAAACAGTCTCCCAAGAATGGGTACGTCCGACAATGAGCGTTGTCAACCGGCATATCATATCGCACTGCCCTCTTCGGTCGTGATCGATTAAAGGCAAAAGTCAGGCTCGTGTTTGGGCATTATGGCGCCTGAAATTGAGTGTAGAGATGGGAGGTGGAACGACAGTGAAGAAAAAACGCAAAGAAACCGTCGACAAGACCGAAATCGAAACCCCTTCCCTTCTAGCAGTGAAGGAGGCTTGCTCGGGGGAGAGCCACGTCCAAACGAGTTTTCCGGATATGCCAGCCGTTTCATCGGTTTGAGGCCAGAGGCCTTGACGGCGCGCAATCTCGAGTCAGGAGTGTGGCATCACCCCTCTGAGCGCATTCCTGGAAATATAGTGATGGAAAGGCCTTCTATGGTCACCTAATCCTCACTCGTGGCTTTAAGTAACCAGCTAATAGCTTTCCCCGAATTATCTTTTTACAGTGAGGCAAGCGTACGCGTTAGGACTGGGCCAAAAATATACTTGTACATTAAACACATGCCGTGCAATGGTCCATAGGTACCTTACTCTCGAGCCACCCAGGCAATCAGAACCTTCTAAATTTCTTCCAGTCCTGCCCAAATTTTGACTCCGACATCTTGCCTTAAAGCGATACCCCAGGCAGAATCCGTGTGAGCGGTCCTCTTTCGTCCTGTGAGGTAGTGCCCCAGCAGACAATCACGAACGTAACAGTCCCGTGCAACGAAAGCGCCCGAAAAAGGCGCTAGAGTCTTTCTAAACCAAGCTGCACGAGATGCACGGGCCGACTTGTCCGCAGCTGTGGGGTTCGCGCACGGGCCGACTTGTCCGCAGCTGTGGGGTTCGCCGCAGCTGCGAGGCGGGTATGCATGAAATGAGGGGCGCCCACATTGTTGCTTGTAGGGTCGTTGGGCGTAT